TGTAAATGGTCCCATTGGGAAGCCGGACTCAACTTGTGTAAAAGCATCCATCTCATATTCAATATCCACTCAGTGCTAAGCATTACTTCCCACGGAATACATATTAAGTCATAACTTGATTCATTAAGATAGCTCATTAGATCATGCGTGACAATTGCCTTTCACTGTCCATGTCTACATATAGATTCAATAGGTGAGAAAGCCTTTCAACCTTAGAATCTTCATATTCTGAGAAAACCTTTAACATCATATCATATTCATTCATAGATGTGTATATGAAAATAACCTTTCAACAACACAACAACTAGATCATAATCATAGACACTTCACTCTCAAAGTGTTGTTATATACAAAGACTTCATAAACATGCATAATATCATGATTTTCCCCATCAAGGATCAAAGATCATATTGAATCAACACGTCTAGAATTCAATACATCAGACATGGATATTAACATAATTCAAGTAACCCAATTACTACAAGCATAATCTCATAATATCTTTCTTTCATCAACAAGCCCACTCCACAAGATCATATTTGGGAATAAGGGGATTTCATGAGTTCTTTGGGATTTCAACATAAAACCATAATAAATAATCAATTCAATCATAATATAAAGTAATTCAAGCATTAGAATCATTTTTGAAAGGAACTCATGACTTTGGAATCAAACCCTAGCTTTTGGGGGATTTCTATCTTTGAAATTGGGATTTTGAAGGGGCTCCATGGATGAATAGATACCATACCTTGGCAATGAAACCCAATGAATTTGAGTAGAAAACCTTGCTCCTTGAACCCTAGTTCCAACTTCCTTCTTCTTCTTCTTTGAAGTTATAGAGAGAGAATATTTGGAGAGGATGAAGTTTTGGGAATAGTTTTGGGTTTTAAAAATAATTAGGTGAATGACTTAATTTAGTGGTTTAAAATACTTATATAGGTGTTCTAAATTAGGGTAACTCGACACCAGTTAATATTAATTAAAATCGTAAAACCTCAAAGTGCCCCTAAACTAACTTCTCAAAATAGTCCCGAGTCCACCACCCATGACCCTCACTAACGGACCGTGGTTGGACCCACGGCCCGTGCTGGTGAAGCGTGGGTTGGGTTCAGAGAGCCTGATTTCATGGCTTGACCTACGGCTCCTCACCCATGAGGCGTGGGTCCTGCCGTGGTCCACTGCCTTTGGGCAGTTTCCAGGGTCCTCCTCAAGGACCCATGGTTGGTCCTTGGGGGTCGTACATTGACGTTCTAACATGAAACCCCTTTATTTTTTAAGTATGGAGAGTTATATCCAATACTCTAATCCTCACGTTAAGCTCTAGTTTAGCATACTAATTTTCAGAGTGTTACAATATCTCCCCCTTGGGAACATTCATCCTCTAATGATGATCTAGACACCTTACAGAAGTAAAGACTCAAGACTAGCAGCCCATCATGTTTGAAACATCAAAATAAAGCACAATTCCAAGGAGGAAACATCAACTCCAACACAATCTCATGAAATCATTAGGCCCTTTACTCAAGAAAAGCATGTTCATCAATTTATCTCCTGAAGTCAAATAGGTAACTCATACTCAATGCACAACAACATGAGGAAAATCAATCATGAAAACTCATTTTCTTACTAAATATGAATTTCTCAAGAACATGCATAAGAAAATCATGGAAAACACATATAACACACATGACTCACAAAACAAGAAAACTCAAGAGGAACTATTTACCTCAAGCTTGAATAGGAGTAGAGGGAAAGAGGTGAGGATATTGGGACTTCATATCGGCCTCGACCTCCCAAGTAGCACCCTCAACTAAGTGATTTCTCCATAAAACCTTCACAAAAGCTATTTCATTGTTTCTCAATCTCTTAACTTTCTGGTCTAGGATCTCAACTAGAATCTCATCATATGAAATACTTTCGTCAACCCCTAACCATTCTAGGGGAATAATGGATGACGGATCTCCAATACACTTTTTAATCATAGAAACATGAAATATCGGATGAACTGGGGCCAACTCATTTAGCAAATCCAACTCATAGGCAACCTGCCCAATAAGTTTCAAAATTTGGTATGGGCCTACATACCAGGAACTAAGTTTCCCTTTCTTGCCAAATCCCATCACACCCTTCATGAGTGAGATTTTCAAATAGACCCAATTATTAACTTCAAATTCTAGATCCCTTCTTCTCACATCGGCATAAGAATTTTATCTACATTGAGCCATTTTCAACCTCTCTCTAATAAGCCGAACTTTCTCAATGGCTTCATAAACTAGCTCGGGACCTATCAAAGCAACTTCCCCCACCTCAAACCAACCAACTGGAGACCTACATATCCTACCATACAAGGCTTCAAAGGGAGCCATACCGATACTTGAGTGACATCTATTATTGTAGGCAACTCTATTAATGGCAAGTGGTCATCCAAATTACGCTTGAAGTCTATTACATGTGCCCTTAACATATCTTCCAATGTTTGGATGGTACGCTCCGCTTTCCCATCAGTTTTGGGGAAGAAAAGTCGTGATAAGCTTAACCTTAGTGCCAAGACCTTTTTGGACTGACTTACAAAAGTGAAAAGTAAGTTGAGAACCCCGATCAGAAATAATAGATAGAGGAACTCCATGCAATTTCACCATTTCCCTTATATACCACTTAGCATAGTCGGAACCGCCGAAAACAAAACCTTAACGGGAATAAAGTGGGCTGATTTTGTCATCCGATCTATAATGACTCAAATAGAATCATGTTGTCTCCGGGTGCGAGGCAAACCGATAATAAAGTCCATGTTTATATGTTCCCACTCTAGTGGGAAGACTATTATCTTGGGACAAGCCTCCCGGCCTTTGAGGCTCAACATTAACTTGTTGACTATTAGGACATTTGGCCACAAATCCCGCGATACCTTTCTTCATCCCATTCCACAAATAGACTTCCCGTAGATCTCGGTACATCTTGGTGGCTCCCGGATGAATAGATTACCGAGAACTATGAGCTTCCTCTAAAATTTGTACCCTCAAACAACCAACATCCAGAATACATAATCGACCTTGGTAACTAAGCACCCCAACTCCCCTTTGGTAGAAACCCTCAACGGACTTCTTAAGTACCGACTCTTTCAACTCAACTAGCATAGGATCAAGACATTTCTTAAACTTCACATCCATCACAAAGGACGATTTGAAACCATTATGAACCCTGATGCCACCCTTAGTGGAACCCACTTGTTGAACACTTAGCCGAGCCAACCTATGCATATCACAAACCAATTCTTTCTTTTCATCCTCTACATGAGCCACACTACTCATAGACAATCTACTAAGTACATCCGCTACCACATTAGCTTTGTCGGGGTGATAAAGGACTTATGTCATAGTCCTTCAATAATTCTAACCACCTTCGTTGATGAACATTCAAATCCTTTTGACTAAACACATATTGAAGACTCTTCTGATCGGTGAAAGCATCCACATGGACCCCATACAAACAATGCCTCCATATCTTTAAGGCAAATACAACCGCCGCTAATTCAATATCATGGGTAGGATGATTCTTCTCATGGACTTTAAGTTGCATAGGCAATTACCTTACCATTTTGCATGAGCGCACATCCCAACCCAACTCTAGAGGCATCACAATACACCACAAAACCATATGTACCATCTAGTAAGGTCAACACCGGAGCGAAAGTAAGTCTATCTTTCAATTCTTGGAAACTTTTATCACAAGCTTCCGACCACACAAACTTAGCCTTCTTTTAAGTCAAAGTCGTCATGGAGAAGCAATGTAGGAGAATCCCTCAACAAACCTTCTATAGTAACCGACCAAACCCAAAAAACATCTAATGTCGGAAGGATTTAGAGGTCTAGGCCAACTGTTGACCGCATCCGCCTTCTTAGGATCTACCTCAATACCCTCACTTGACACAATATAACCAAGGAAAGCTATAGACCTTAACCAAGATTCACACTTGCTAAACTTTGCAAAAAGTTGTTGGTCCTTAAGAACTTGCAACACAATTCTCAAATGTCCACATGTTCATTTTCACTCCTTGAGTAGATCAAAATATCATCGATAAACATGATCATAAATGTTTCTAGGTATTGCCTAAACACTCTATTCATCAAGTCCATAAATGCCGCCAGAGCATTAATCAACCCAAATGACATAACCACAAACTCATAGTGATCATACCGGGTTCTAAAAGTCATCTTTGGAATATCAACCCCTTTCACCCTCAATTGCTGATAACTCGAACGAAGATCAATATTAAAGAAATAGCTAACCCCTTGAAGTTGGTCAAACAAATTATCTATCCTTGGGAGAGGATACTTATTCTTGATGGTAACTTTATTCAATTGACGATAATCAATGCACATTCTAAGAGACCCATCCTTCTTTCTAACAAACAACACGGGAGCACCCCATGGAAAGATACTCGGTCGGATAAAACCCTTATCTAGCAAATCCTTTAATTGATCCTTTAACTCTTTTAACTCCACCAAAGCCATTCTATGAGGAGAAATGGAGCTAGGTTGTGTATCTGGTAAAAGGTCAATACCAAAATCTATTTCCCGCTCAGGAGGCATACCGGACAAATCATCAGGGAAATCTTCCTAAAACTCATTAACTACCAGAACTGACTCAAGAGAAGGGGTTTCAGAATCTACATCCCTCACCCTAACAAGATGGTAAATACACCCTTTGGAGATCATCTTCCTCTTTAAGACAAGAGACAAGTTGACCTCTAGGCGTAGAATTTCCCCCCTTCCACTATAAGATAGGTTCATTTAAAAATTGGAATGTAACCACTCGAGTCCTACAATCGATAGAGGAATACACGCATGCAACTAATCCATACCCAACATCACATCAAAGTCTAACATGTCTAACTCTACCAAATCCACCAAAGTAACTCTATGGGACTAGGAAATAGGACAACTTTTATAAACCCTTCTACCCACCACATAATCATCTACCGAGGTAGAGACCGAAAAAGGTTATAATAACACTTCGGGGAGTATATCAAACTTCATGGCCACATAAGGTGTCACAAAGGACAAAGTAGCACTGGGATCTAAAAAGCCATACACATCAATATGAAAGCTTTTACCGGTCACCACATCTGGGGAGCTCTCTTTGTCACCTGAGGATTGAAGAGCATAAAAGCGATTTTTCTTTGGGTCGTTGGAGTTTGAACCGCTTGGAGGAGCTTTTTTATCTTCTCTTCCCTTAACCTTGAGCATAGGACAATCTCTTATCTTGTGGCCAATCTTCCCACAACTAAAACACCCATCAGTGCCAACTAGGCACTTACCATCATGCTTTCTTCCACACTTTGCACAATTAGGCCTAGCCACATAAGAACAACCACTATTACCTTCTTGAAGTTTAGGGTTGGAAACCCTATCCTTGTTGACCCTTGGAGCACTATATGAGCCTTGGTTGGAAAAACATTGTCTAAACCTTGGTCGACCTTGTCCATTTGACCTAGCAATGGAGAAGTTCCCATCACCGGTTCTAGCTTTTTTCACCTCTCTATTCTTTTCCTTGAGTTTTTACTCCTCAATTTGTTGAGCGTACATCATAAGCCTTGACATATCCATGTCATGATGGAGCATTGTCGTGCGACATTCTTTTTCAACCAAGTCGGAAACACTCGTCAAAAACTTACTCATCTTATCCCTCGAATCCGCCACTATAGTTGGAGCATACTTGGACAATTGAGGGAATTTTAGGGCATACTCTTTCACGCTCATAATTCCTTGATGAAGGTTAATGAACTCTTCCACCTTAGCTTCCCTCAACTCTCAGGGAAAGAATTTATCAAGAAATTCTGATTTGAACAGTTCCCATCCTACCGGGCCCGCCCCTATGGGTCCTCAACCCTTCCACTGATCGTACAATTTTTGAGCAACATCTTTTAGTTGGTAGACGGATAATTGCGCCTTCTCTTATGAATACACCCCATAATAGTAAGAACTTTATAAACCTCATCATAAACCTTTGGGGATCCTCTTCCACTTTGGAGCCATAAAATTTGGGAGGGTTCATTCGAGTAAAATCCCTAACCCTAGAAGCAGTCGAATTCACATTAGGATTCACCGGAGCTACATCTTCTCTATTGGCATGAGCCGTCACTACTTGAGACAACATTTGGATACTATACCTAAACTCTGCATGGGTCACATTCTCAACCACAGGATCAACCAGAGGTTGATTAGCTTGAGGAAGAGCTCCTTGATTCACATTCTCATCTTCCATCCTTCTAGCATTAGCCCTTCATGTATTCATATCTTGAAGACACAAGAGAAGGATTAGGAGAGGGACTTTATATAGTTAAACTCTATTGCAGAACTTAAGAGTAATGAAAGAAGTGAAATTTCCTCAACATCTTATAGCCTCTCATTCATAAATGTGGCACGTTTCACACTTATGAACAAGACTCTACTAGACGTGGCTTATGAGACATCATCCTAGAATCATTATAAACCTCGTGCTTTGATACTAAGTGTAACAAGGCACATAGAACCCCGAAAGGCACCATGTAAGCCACTTAGCATATCATAACATAACCATAGAACAATAAAGATTAAAAATGCATTTCAAGTCCATAATTTTCATAAAGGAAAGCGCACATCTAGACTTGTCTCAGCATAGCGATCTATTATAATACTTGAATCAAATAGGGTCACAACCCATACAACATAGTCCGAAAAGGAAATAGAAGAAAAGAACTACAAAGGTAACATTCGTCCTCGAATCATGAGGACTCACCAACAAGCTAGGAGAATAAGCAAATCCAAGCTTTTGCCACAATGATGACCACCTTGAGAAGTGGACCCTACACTTGGGAAAATATAGGAAAAGCATGGGTTAGTACAAAAATGCACTAAGTACGATAGTCATGCATAGAAATAATGAAAACATGCAAAAAAAAGGGACATTTTAGTTGAATGCATGCAATTTACTAAGTTAAAACATCATTTTGAAGATAGTAGAAACACATATTCATTACATATATCATCATACTATAAAAGGAACATGTCATAAATACCCTCAAAGCATACTTGTGCAATGAATGAATAAGACCCCATAATCTCACCCATACTAAGTAAAGCTTCTTGAGTAACAATAGTTCATAATTCATATTGTATAGTTCATACTATCATAGTGGGGAATAAGCCTTAACCGACATAGACCATGTGAGCTTACATGGAATCATGTGTCTACCCACACCAAAAAAGGGTTGTCCTACTTGCCTAAGGTTTCCATACTCTTAGCTTAGGTGGATCCACTAGCTAAATAACATATTAGGGCACATAGTTTATGGGATAAGGCAATTTCTACTAGAAACCCGGACTCAACTAAGGTATAAGGTTTCCATCTCATGAGATACATACTTTGGGAACCCGAACTCAACTAAGGTAGAAGGAACCCATTTGGAAAGCTGGACTCAACTAGTGTAACAGCTTTCATTGGGAAGCCAGACTCAACTATTGTACAAGTTTCCATCTCATATTTAATATCCACTAGGTGCTAAGCATTAATCCCCACGGATTACATATTAAATCTTGACTTAAGTTCATATTCATGGAAGAATGTCTTGACACTCAATCCAACATAATTCATACTATAGCTCATAGATGCAATAGGTGAGAATAGCCTTTCAACCGTAGAATCATCATATTGTGAGAAAACCTTTCACATCATATCATATTCATACATAAGTGTGTATATGAGGATAACCTTTCAACAACACAACAACTAGATCATAATCATAATCACTTTACTCTCAAAGTGTTCTTAAAGCATATACACAATTCTCATGATCATGCATAATTCTCATACTTTGCCTTTCAAGGATAAAAAATCATATTCCATCAACACATCTAGAATTAATAAATTAGACATGGCTAATAACATAATTCAAATAGCTCAATTACTACAAGCATAATCGCGTAATATTCATCTTTCATCTATTCATCCACATCAAGATCATAAATTGGGAATATGGGGATTTCATGGATTCTTGGGGATTTCAACATAAAACCCAAAATAAATCTCAATTCAATCATAATATAAAGTACTTGAAACATTAGAGTCATTTTATTAAAGAAATCTATGACTTGGAGTCAAACCCTAGCTTTTGGATTCTATCTTTGAAATTGGGCTTTTGAAGGGGCATTATGGATTAATTCTATCCATGGATGAATAGCTACCATACCTTAGCAATGAAATCCAATGAATTTGAGAAGTAAACCTTTCTCCTCGAACCCTAGCTCCAACTTCCTTCTTCTTCTTCCTTGAAGTTCTAGAGAGAGAATATTTAGGGAAAGTTGATTTTGATTTGGGATTTTGGAATAATGAGGAAGATAACTTAATTTAGGGGGTCTAAAATCATTATATAGTTAGTATAATTTAGAATAAAACGATGTCAGTTAATGTTAATAAAAATCGGAAAACCCAAAAACACATTTAAACTTAACTGCCAAAAAGAGGTTTACAAGCCTCACCCACGACCCACCACTGACGAACCATGGTTGGACCCATGGCCCATGCTGGTGAACCATGGTCTAGGTTTAGAGAACTGGTCTCAGGGTCTTGAGCTACGGCCCTTTTACCCACGGGCGTGGTCTGACCCACGAGGCATGGGTTCCCTCCATTGGTCAGTGCCAAGGTAGTGTCTAGGGGCCCTCCTCAAGGACCCGTGGTTTGTCCTTGGGGGTCGTACCTTGATGTTCTAACATGAAACCCCTTTATTTTTTAAGTATGGGGAGTTACATTTACGTCTCTTACCCTCACGTTAAGCTCTAGTTTAGCCTACTAGTTTCTGGGGTGTTACATAAACTAACTTCTCAAAATAGTCCCCAAGCCACCACCCATGACCCTCACTGGTGGACCATAGTTCGACCCACGGCCCATGCTGGTGAAGCGTGGATTGGGTTCAGAGAGCCTGATTCCAGGGTTTGACCCATGGCTCCACACCCACAAGGTATGGGCTGACCCACGAGGTTTGGGTCCATCCGTGGTCCACTGCCTTTGGGCAGTTTCCAGGGTCCTCCTCAAGGAGCCATGGTTGATCCTTGGAGGGTCATATCTTGACGTTCTAACACTAAACCCCTTTATTTTTAAGTACGGGGAGTTACATCTAAGATTCTAACCCTCATGTTAAGCTATAGTTTTGCCTACTAATTTGCCAAGTGTTACAAGAACACTATCAAATTCCACAAGTTCGAGATCTTCACCAAACCCCGGGGCCCCTAAATTCACAATTGGGTCTGGGAGTTATATTTGGCCTATGGTGAGCTGGTCCCTTAGGGGAAGAAGAAGGCTAGCATGTTCAGGCTGGTTGGTCTTGTGATTGTTTGCGGCAAGAAGGTTAAATGTTGTTGTGACTACATCAATGATGTTTTGGGGTGCACTTATGATATCATGCACCAATACATTGATCTGATCCAGAAGAAGACCTTGGAGGACCTGAAGGGTTTGCTAGAACCCCTTATATTTGATGCCACCCCGAGGTGGATAGAGGTTGGTGCACCGATAGAGAAAAAGGACTTGAATGTTGCTGCCACATACTGGTTCAGGTTCATCAGCAACACCATCATGCCATCCCAAAATGAATCCATCCTCAGACACCCGATGGCGGCAAGTTTAGGGAATATCATTTCTCACCATAAGCTGAATTTGGGGCTACTTATTGAGCAGTAGATGGCCATGAGATCCAAGTAGAGATAGACTTTGCTCCCATTCCCGGTGTTGATCACCGAGTTGTGCAGATGGGTCCATGTTCCTAGAGATAAGAAGACGGATTTGGAGGTGACACCTACCTCCTTTACTGACATCTAGTGTATTGAGGCCGAGTATCAACGAGATGAGGCTAACAGGAGGAGGGAAACACCGGTGAATACGTCCCTCAGGTACACATGTACCTTTCTCTTCTAAGATTCCGACTACATATGATGCACCCCCTCCCCCTAGATCTTTTATTGTTGCTTCTACCTCCCGACCCCTATCACCCAGGCCATTCTTTACAAAATGGGCCATTTAGCCCAATCTGCTGATGTGCGTGCCTCCCGGGTATAAGATGCTATGCCTGTATGATAGAGAGGGCGATAGTTGTTGCCTGGGCCCCACTTAGGGCTGAGATGAGGGACCACAAGTTGGGTTTGGATGCCCTAACTGTGAGAGTGGAGGAGTGTGAGAAGGTCCAGGGAGCCACTGATGTTGTGAAAACCTTGAAGGCCGACATTACTGGGTTGAGAACAGATGTGGACCACCTGAAGTCCACTAATTTTGCTTCACTATTTTTTACCATGAAGATTCTCGACATGCCTAGTGTAGATATTCCAGCTTGTTCTGAGGTGCCTCCGGCTACCACCAGAGATGAGGTTAGAGCTGATGATGTTGTTGCTGAGTCCGAGGCTAAGACAGATAAGGAGCAGCTAGGTGTGACTGATGCGGCTGTCTATGATAATTTGGCATACCTAAAGGGAGCCATGGTGCATACAGGTGTACAACCCTCTTTGAGGGATGTTCCCATATTGGGCTCCAGTGAAGCCAAGTATGCTGAGATACTGGGCACTAATTCCCAGACAGAGGAAGTTTTGGATATGCAGACTTCACCCCAAGCATAGCTTGGCAGGATGATTCTCTTTTCCTCTTTTATGTTCTCTTTTAGACTGTTTCTATTTTAGTTGCATTTGAGGACAACTGCGTATTTTTTTAGTGGGGTGTGGTATTTCCATATCTACCTTTAGAGGGTTGTTTTGTGAATATTGGTTCGATTTTGATGGTGTTTTTGTGAATATTGAGCTTATTGGTTTATATATATCTTGGTTGTTGGATTCTTGCTGTTTATAAATTGTGTCATTGTTTTAATTTGAAAATGGCGTTGAAATGGTTTTGAACCAAGTTTAAATTTTTGCCACCTCTTGTGTGTGTTATTATGGTTGTTCTTGTTCAAATTTTAGGGTCGATTGTGGTCAAAACTGATGACTTGAATAGTGTTCTTAATTGAACAAAATGAATGTGCAGCTACGATGAGGCAAACTAAGTTATATAGGCAAACTGTTCTTGATGTTTGCATAATCAAGACACAACTTCCAATGCAAGTATCTACGATCGTACAATAGTATAGTAACCCAACCAAGGGTTGGGGTCGAGTCCCAAGGGAGTGGGCTTGAGAATTAATAGAAAATAAAATTTAGTTCTAATTAGTCATAGCTAAAAACATTATCGAATATAAATATGTTAAATCT